GGAATAGAGTGTTACACGCAGAAAAAACATCTAAATTTTTTTATTTAACAGCATACTTACCTGGCTCAGGAAATACCGTGATCAAGCAGGCGGTTCTCCCATTGCGAGGCCTTACCATTGCACTTCGGTGGGCTGACTGATGCGATTCCCCCAAACGTGGGGAACTCGGGAGTACAATTTCTGATAGTGGGGACTGCGTTCGCGCTCTCCCCGTGCAACAAACCAAAGACAGATTTTTATGCAATAATACTTCATCCAATACAGGATATTCTCTTTTCATAACATCTTATGAAATAATTAAGGAGACAAATGTCGCATTTTACTCTCATTTCGGGCAGATTATTGCAGTGTTTCGCTATTTAAGTTACAAGTCATCCCTGATACATTTGCAGTCATTAAAATTGTTCTGAGATCTCCATTCAGCTGTTAAATTTGCCGTTTCACTTGCAACAAAATGCGAGTGCACAATAAGCTCTGGCCGTCTTGCACCAATGCCAAGAAATAACCATGTGCTTAATTTAGGGTACCATCCACAAGGGCGGATCTGGGGGGCAACAACAACAAAATACCAAAGCTTTAAAAATGCCCCTTTTTGATGTAAGCGCGAGTATACGTATTGATATACATCTATATCCTCAAGAGCGCTCCCCTAGTGTAATGCGTTGCCCAGCCCCCCCCCCCCCCCCCCCCCCCACCGTTTTTCCGATTTTCCACGGCCGGGCCATTTTTGGATTTTGCTCGTCCCCCATTCTCCCCCACAGATTTACGCCACTGCACTATAGAAAGCAGGAGGTCGTGGGTTCCAGTCCCACCCGAGTTATGTTTCCAACTTTCACTCGGGAGGTAACACACTTTAGTAAGCAGTGTGTGTACGTCGGTGAAGGGCAAAACCTAACAAGACGATACGCGAGCAGATTTGGCGATTAATGATGCAACTAGACTTCACCTTGACCTTGATATTCTGACCTTGAGGTTCAGCGGGCGTCATATCGGGTCTTCGGTAACCCGTTTTGAAAGCCAATGTCGGGTTTTATTAGATCTCTATGCCCGTTGTTGTTTTACGTAATTACAAAAACATGCATAGAATCCAAATTGACCAATCAACATGCAGCTTATATATAGTCCAGATTTCGGAATGAAATTACGTCTTGTCGACTCCGATTGGCTGGCGTGCGGGGGTCGCATAAAGTTGCATACGTTGGACCGGGACAGAAAGGGTTCAGTTGGACAACGGGGGATATCCAGACCATTTCTTCCTTCCTCCATGCGCAGACTCCTATGCAACTTTTTGTCATTCTAATTATGCTCCATGTATAGAAATATCAAAATTGACCTTATTAGCGAGTTGCTGTCAATATCCCCTTACAATCGTAAACTCTAAATTGCGAGTAAATAGGATCATACCGTAACGATATAGAGTGCACTCTTGAAGTTTTTACGGGCAGTCCATTTATATCGAACGTCTTATAAGAAAGACTTATTAAGAGGTAACCGATACCACTCCCTTTGATAACCGTACGGTCTGAAGGAGGGAAATCTAAGTAAAACCATCTTTTAGTGGTCGAGGAAAATGCTTTCTCCTGCATTGGAAGAAAATTTGAGAGTAAATTTAGGAAGTTTAGCATATGATTTTTTTTTTTGCCCAATTTTCCTCGCACGGAAAACGAAAACATGCACCCCTAGCCCTAGGCCTCTTTTCACCGCTTCGACGACGCTAGTACAGTGCACGATGCGTTACTTTTGAGGTAATATCTATAATTGCCGGCGTACAACAAAACATCATAATCCACGCTATCGCTTGTCGAAGAAAATCTACACGGAGCTCACAAAATGGCCGTTTTCAGATTTCTGGGGCGGCACCGATCAAGTTTCCAAAGCGCGCGTATACATGTACTCCAAACATTTCTTAAAAATTAGTTAGCAGTGATCAAGAAATTGATAAAAAGGGATTTCTTGTATAAGTGTGGGAATATTGTGCATGATAATACCATGGAGGTAGTACCTACTACTTAACTGACATATACAGTTGTTCTCACCCCTCCTGAGTCGTCCCCCCCCCCCCAAGAAAAATGGGGAAATAACACCGAGGAAAAACAGTAGCGTCACCCGCAAAGCTAATTCCCTCCGCCAATCCGCCCCTATGCAAAACTTTTAGATGTACACCAGTTGTTCTACAGTATGTCCCCAAGTGTCCGTCTGACTATTTTTGAAATAATACTACAAAACCATGCGGCCAATTTTGAAATGTGTTGGTTGTGCAGATACTCCAAAGCCATTTCAGTCACGCATCACTACACTATTATCATTGATCTCAACAAACTTTTTGGACACTGTGACCAATTTCCATGCCTTATTGAATTTCAGTATTATAATGTGTTAAGTAAGCTGTGTAAAATATATTGTGAAATGGGCTGCAGGTGGTATGTGTATTGGAATCATTAAATTTTTGCCGCACTCAGTCATCATGGCAAGGGCAAACGATTCCAATCCCAAACCACGTCCATCGGCCTTTTTTTCACAACATGCAGGATTTTACACAGCTTACATAAAACAGCACTGAACTTGGTCACAGTGTCCAAAAATGTTGTTGCGATAAATTGACAATGTGTAGTGATGCGTGACTGAAACGAAACTCATACGGGTTGAGGCCAAGGCTTAGGAGTACCTGCACGACCAACATTTTCAAAATTAACCTCATGGTTTTGTAGTTATTTTAAAAACAGTCAGATGTATTTTTGGGGGCATACTGTATAGGCCTACATAGATGTACCACAGTCAGCAGTTTTTGTAGTGCACTAACCCGTATTGTTATATATGCATGACGTTAAAGGGAAGATACAACATTTGCAAACATCAAAAAGAACGAAATGATCAATTTTTCACGAAATACCTTACTGGATTGTTAGGGAATAACAGCCTAAAGCATCCTGTAAAATCGTGGCTCCTGGTGTACTAAAATTTTCAAGAAAAATTGTATTTTTCCAACGCTAGTCGGCCGACCAGCGTTGGTGAAAAAAATGGTTTATTTGCAACAAGTGCTCTTAATTTTTCATATTTAGTTATTCCGCATTTTCTTTGCAAATGATTACACACCTGTGAAGAGGTACAAGCCTGCCAGACTCTCTGACCTTACAAGAGTCCCCAAAGTCTACAAAGTGCAGTGTTTCATAAGTGGAGTCCGGGAACCAGACTACAAGAACATGATTGTTTTCTTGGTTTTTCCACTATCTACAAGCCCAAAACGTAAAACAAGTCAGTATAACAATATTTGCTATAACATTCTAATCCTCCAAATCCATTTATTTCTGAAAATTGCAGCAAAAGCAAATGTCGTACATTCCCTTTGAGATGGGAAATTTTCGTTCAGAACGTTTCAATATTGACGAGCGTGGATACATTTTCTAAGTCGGTTAATGTGGTGAAAAGGTACAAACTGCAATAATGGATGAGGTCATACACATTTTGAAATCAACTTCTTTGACTTCAAAAATACGATCCAATTAACAATATGTATTTATCAGAATACTGTTAAGCCTACATTATAATTTACATCAAATTATTCCTCTGTCATTCTTAATTTGTACAGTTATTTCGAACAATACTACTCGCTTTATAAGTACAAAAATAAATACGGAGATAATCTTCTAGAACTGCTTTTAAAATGTTTGAGTTTTGACCTGTAAAACTTCAGGTGAGAAGTATATGATAACCTTATAAATCAGGTCGTTTGTTTAATATATAGGCCCTGTTTTTGGCTATAAAAGTGTATATAACTTCCAATTACATCATGTATTCTATTTTTCTAAATAATGACTACATTTAAAGACAAATATATCTGAATACTTGAATCTTCTTTTTTGTGTTGCCATCCTTTATACCGGTATACAAAAAGTGTCAAACTGTCAAAAAGGCCTATTAGGACCATTTGCACTTTTAATGCCAAAAGTAATCTACCAAAAAATATCAAAAAGCTTACTTGGAACCGTGAAATTATTCCGTATGACTTGTCACTTAGAAGAAATCAAGAAATGTAGATGATTTCCAAAGATCAGTCAACAAACTTATTTTTGGAAGTAAAGAGTGCTACTAAGGTATATGAAATCATGTTTTGTGATCAAAAGGTTTTGCATGATTTATCACTTTTTTGAAAATAGCATTTTCTTGAAAAGTGTTGTATCCACTCGGATGAAACTTCAACAGGTGAGGTTTTTAACATTCTTCTTTTGTGTTTTTTTATTGGAAACGAACAAAATGCATGGATAGCAAATGATCTTGTGCCTTTAATGTATAAAGTTCGAGCCTATAGCTGTTTGAAGTTCTGAGCCTCTTTCTGCAATGAGTTGGGCGATTTACCTTTAATGCATAACGTAATTCCTCTTTGCGAAAATGATTTGTGCAAATGGAAGAATGCAATTCAGCCAAGTGTATATTCTGATGATGCTGTGTATAAAATATGTGTAATAATAACAAATAATTGCAATTAGTATACTTAAATGTTTTGAAATTCCATTTGTGAACAAGAGTACCATTGTGCAAAGTATTTTAAAACCTTCATTTTAAATTCACTTTTCAAATCTTCAACTTTTAACTAACTCAACTAAGGAGCCTTAAATTATCATGAGTTGAAACAAGTTATTATTTACATGTACATGATCTAATATACAATAGTTTGATTGAGCTACATCTAAGCAATACTTTTTTAAATAGATATTTTCCTTAGGTGCGACGAGTACAAGTAAATATGTTTCTTTTTCTGTTAAAGTAATTTGCACAAGAAGTGATCAGTGAAATACGTTTGCGTGTATATACTAATTATTGCGAATACAATGTGGAGTCCAGGCAGGAGCTATAAATAACACTGTGTGGCATGCCCACTGGAGCCAACGAAATTGGTGTGGAATAATTTTGAGCAAATATTCCCACATCAGCCTGAGATATTGGGTGTGGCTTCATGGTATGGTACTTTCACATGTTAGAAACTGACATTATGCTTTGCATTGTTATACTACTCAGCCTGGTTGTGTTTAATACTTTGCACAGAGTTCATTTAATACATCATTATGTTGTATGCACATGATCTAGAAGTTTTCTGGAGAAGAGATCTATTCTGTAGAAAGTATACAGCTACATGTATATCATTTAACTTCTATCCATTACAACATGTATACATAATTTTGATCAAGATCAGCCAAAAGGCTTATTTTCAATGCTTATAAATGCTTATCAGTCTTAATTTGTTCTACAGTGTTTGTTCCAGTTCCCTTTCACTGTACAGTGACACGATAAGGCCTACAAAATACTGAGGAAAATGCTTTGTACATGAACCAGTAATAGAAACTTTGCATTGTTTTCTCTTTCAATATGGAAGTGTGTTTTCATGAAAGACTTGATTATGGAATAATGTTAATGTAATGGAAAGACTTTTTTTCTTAATCTCCTGTATATACAAATCAACTGTAATTAATCTGTTTGATCTCTTGGTAAAAAAGCGGTAAGTCAACAAAAATATTTATCAAAGCATAGTTTGATCGCTCATTTGTTTTTAATTGTATGTATATGTACATATGTATATCAAAATTCACGAGGAGACCCATCAGTCACATAACTGATCCGAGTTGTTTACATGTATACATTTAATACTGTATTGTGCAGAGTTCATATTGAGTAATTCCCAACAGTGCAATATCAATTGTTAACCTGGTCAGTTTTGTGTGATTTTGTGCTTGACATATATAATGCCTAAAAGTTTAAAAAATCAATCTCAGTGAAGGTAAATATTGCCTTATTAACACATATTTATGATGACCACCAAAGCACTGAGCCAACTAATTGAATCTGGAACTGCTTCTTTAGGGTAAAATGAGACAGAGGCAACAAAATCTATTCAGATCGACAATTTCCGTATGAATTGTTTTTTCTTACCACTAAATCACTATAAGACCAAATAAAAAAAAAACATGTTTAGCGTCCCTGCCTGCTTCCTTTCTGCAGGCCGCCTCTTCTTTGTTTTGTTTTGTTTTTTAAACCGAAAAAATTATAAATTTTCAACAGTGACATCACTTTTGCCTCTTTATCTGTTGCATCTAGCCCACATAAAGCTGGTATGTCATTTCCTGAGTCCAATGGCGGCCATTTAAAAAAAATTACTGTCGGCCATCTTGAGAATAACCCGGTCAGGCGGCCATTTTGGAGGGGGAAAAAAAGGGCCTCCGGCTTCCTTTTTTTCAAAAAGGCAGGACGCTAAACATTTTTTTTTTATTTGGCCTAAGTTGTTATGGTTGCCTCAAACTTGGCTGTGAGATTTAGCTTCAGTGACTTAGTTGTGGTCAAGTTGGCATTGGACTGCGACCCCTGCTCCGTGCACTGGCTCCACGGGACACAGGATCCATGGTCTTCATCAGGAATTTCTCCTCGTCCGTGTACATGGCCGCGTCTGGCCGGAAATCGACGGTGTAGTCCAGCGAGCGTATGGCATCGCTCACTACGTCCTCCCTCCTCCCTTCCTCATTCCACTGGTGCATGTCGGGCCGCATGTTGTTGCTGAGTTTCCTCTGGCGATCCTCTGACATATTCTGGGACAGCGAGTCCACCTTGAGCGTCCCGAATTTCTCGGCTACTGGCGCGTACATCGCTGTGCGACGCTTCTCGTGGACCTTGGACATGCGCTGGCGGCGTTCTTCGCGGTTGTTCTCCACCATTTCTTTATGGGTGGATACAATCTCACTGATTTGTGAAGTGGTTATGGAGCAGAGTTTGGAGTTGTGAATGAAGGGGTGTTTGTTTTAAAGTGTGCAGAAGTTATGGATAAAACGTACGTAGAGTGCCAAATTTCCCCGTAATGAAATGATGGAAAAGTATGAATATTGGAATGAAAAAGTCAAGTGTCAATGATCATCCACCACATGAAAAGTGTTGAGAAATGAGAAGCACAAAGAATGAAATGTTCGAAATTTTGTTGTAAAATAGAGAACAAAGGGTAGAAAGTATTGTAACAATGATAACAGGAGCATTAAAAAGTCGAAATTCAAGTACATTATTAAATGGAACATGAACCAGAACCATTTTGATAGTAACCGAGTGAAGCATGGTTTGTCAAAAAAGAAAGTGAATGAAAGAAAAATACACAGTTCAGAATGAAGAGCCAACAATATGAAAGACAAAAGAGGACAATGATACAAGAGGAGATGGAAAAATTGGAGGGAAAAGAAAAACACAGTTTATTAGCTTTTAATTGCTTATGGAATTCTTATAAAGATATGGTAACTAAAGTAAAACATAATGTTGCCCCATTATATTGCACATGAACGTATAAATGGAGTGATTACAATATTTCTAATTGTTTTCATTTTAAGTTATGATCAGATTTCAGAGAGCAAAAACATTATATGCTTTGTTAGAATAACTCTGACTCCAAGTTCTGTCAAACCTATATAAGCTCAAATAAAAGCTAATGAAAGAAACAAAAGGAAGAAGCTTATTAAACCCATCAATTTATCGGCCTAGTAAACAAAGCACCTCTCTTCGTAACATCACTGTCAGAAACACAGATTTATAGTGATTCATTACGATTAATTCTATTCATCTTAGCTTTCTTACCCCCTCATGTAACCTATTCCACAATATCAAATTTCATTGGAGCCTTTCCTTGAAGCCTATAGTCATGCTACAACAAAATGCCTGAGCTTACTGTGAGATAAACATTTTTACAGGGACAAAAAAACCCAAAAGTTTACTAGTTTCCTTGCTCTATGGTTTATATAACATAAACTAGAATGGCTCCAATGCTAAGAAACAAAGTTGGACCCAATTTAGATTTGTCTTGATATCCAAAAGTTGGCAAGATTCCTGGAGTTCTCTCGTATACTGCTCTCTGTCTATATAGTCTGATTTCCACCTATTACTAAACTGGCATTCCCTGCTTGTTGCACTGTACCTAGCTAGCTAGGGAGTTCAAAACCTGTCACCTCTGCTATCCATCTAAATAAACACAAATTAACAGAGACATGTTTGTGTCAAACGTATGAGAAACTTACCAACAGTTGTAAAAACCTGAAAACCCTAAACCCCCTCTCATGTTTTCTCTAAAATTTGCCAAGCCTAAAGAACACAGATTCTAATCACAGCTATTAAAGAGTCTTTCACAATAACGTTAGCTCGGTGGTCGAGTGGTAAGACTTCTGCACTAGAAAGCAGGAGTTCGAGTCCCACCCAAGTGATTTTTTCAAACTTTCACTTGGGAGGTAACACACTGAGTATACAGTCTTTAAACGTCGGTGAAGGGCAAAACCTAATTTGATTTATATCACCCCGATGCAAAAAAATTCCATCAAAAATATTCCAAAAAAAAGGGCCTTTCATATTATCCAAAATCTCTTTGTTGGGGGGGGGGGGGGGGGGGGGGGGGGACGAGACGACGAACGATATGATATTCCCCACTTTAAAAGGGGGGGGGGGCCTAGCAATGGATGCCCATTGACTAGGCCCATGTTGACTTCAACATGGTTCAACGATTAGGCAGGGCGATAGTGTGAAAGGGGCCTTAACTGTCAAGCCTGCTTAATCCAAAAGAATCCAGCAAAGTTCAACTGAATACAGCAGCCAGAAATTGTTTTGGGGTATATTGATCAAGAAAAAAATCCTACAGAATTTACCGGCCATTGTTGGATGCTGTTGTATTTAGCAGATTGTGTGTGTTCATGCTTGGTCTTACCTGTAATCTATCTCCCCATCGCCATCACGGTCCAGGGTAACAACCAGCTTGTCAATCTGCCTGGGTGTCAACGGAATATTGGATCCCTAAACACAAAGACAAGAAAATATCAAAAGGTGAATTGTAAGCTTAGCTGACGGGACTCACCCTGCATAGGTATCAATAATGTTGTGGTGGCAGAACTTTTCTGAAATGGGGGGGGGGGGCACCTAAATTATAATAACTTAGGGCCCCCCCCCCCATTTATGCACGTGTGAGGCCTGTCAGCTAAGCTTTTTATATGTCTCTGTAGTGGGGTATCTAAAAGTAAGTGGATTTTTTGTTTTTTCAATTTTGGGGGTTTTGGGAGGTGACATTCGCGAACGTTCCACAAAAAATATAAAAATGCCCACTTTCCCTGTTTCGCATTTGACGTTAATCGAAAGCACCACAGCTTTAGTGCCATATGATTTTTACTGACATTTACAATAGAGTAGGAACTATATATTTTATTATAATGTACCCTGATTTTAGGGAGAAACACTTGACTTAAAGGGAATGTACATCATTGGCTTTGCTGTAATTTTCAGAAATGAACTATTTGAGGGGTTAGTATAATAGATCAAATATTGTTACACTGACATGTTTGAAGTTTTGTGTTCGAAAATGCTGGAAAAACTAAGAAAAACAAAAATGTTCAAGTAGTCTGGTTCCTTGACTCCACTTAAGATAAAATGGATCAATTTATAAATGCCGGAAAATTGTAAGGTAAGGGAACCAGTCTAGCTGGCCTGCACCCGTTCATGAACATGTAACCAATAGCAAACAAAATTTGGACTGAAAAAAGTTTTAAGTTGGAGCAGTAGTAGGTTTTTCCAACGGTGGTCGGCCGACCACTGTTGGAAATGTATACAAAAATACAATTTTCTTAAAAATGACTTCACACCAGGTGCCATAATTTTACAGGATGCTTTAGACTGTCATTTACCAACATCCTAGTAAGGTATTTTGTAAAAACTTGGTAGTTTTATTTTTCGATGTTTGCAAATGTTGTATATTCCCTTTTAGGAATACCCCTTGCAGTAGCCCAGTCAACCATTGTCTATCTTCATTTAAGCCTCGTTCACATAAACCCCTCAATGTCCAGACCAACATACCATGATGCCGTTCTTAAACTCCTCTCGTGTGACTGTCAGGCTGTTGTCCTTATCGTAGGCCTTGAACAGGTCCCATATCCTCAGGTTGTTCTTCTCAATGTGCTGCACCAGCAGCTTCAGCGGATCGACCTCCTTCTCCGCAGGCTTCTCAAACTTCCCGATGGCCCCCTTGTAGAACACCAGGAAATTGGAACGGCCTTGCTTGATCTGCTCCAGGAGGTCCACGAAATCTTTGTTCACAACGATATCCTGCAAGTTCAAGAAAAAAAAAGTCATTACAAAAATCATTAACAGTATGTTTATCATGCATAAATCTCACATTACACTGAAGCATACATTGGACCATAACAATCAACCAATGTTTCGGTCACGTCTACTCAAGGGCGGATCCAGAACACAATTTGGGGGGGGCCAAAAATTTTTTGGTCCCCCAAAAAAGTGGGTAAAAAAAATTACGGCGTGGGGTTCGGGGCCCGCTTAAGGGCCCCGAAAATTTTTTGGATTCTAGATGCTCTGTGGTGCGATCTGAGGCAATTTCTGACCACTTTAACCAATGTTTTTTTGAGGAAAAGATGGTGGTGTACTCATTGCCTGCCTTTATTGCGATGTCACATAAAAAAAAAAAAAATTGGTTTCGTTTTGGGGGGGGGGGGGGCCCATGGCCCCCTTTGGCCCCCCCCCCCTGGATCCGCCCTTGCGTCTACTCCTGCAGTGACTTGCATGGGCTGGTCATCATGTCAAAAAAGTGCTATATAAGACTTCATCAAATGTCATGATTTAAACAATGACCAGAAGTTTGAAGCAACTACTTTAAAAAAAAATTGTAGCAACCAGTCCAGTAACTATACTATTTGACAGGAAATGCTTTTCTAGTATTGATTTATTTTCATTTACAATAGGCATTGTTTCTTAAACCAATACATATAATATATCTATATTCAGGCAAAATTTACCCACTGTCTTATAGAAAATGTTAACAATATGTTATGTTTGGTGTTATTTTTGGTGTATACTTAGTATATATCCAGCTCATTAAAGGCCAGTTTAAAGCTACCCCAATCCTTAATTAGCACCTCACCTTTTTTGTTATAACATAAACAGAGAATAATAATAGGTCTGTTAAAAGGCCAAGTCACTGTCCTACAAGTAATTTAGTTACTTGTGAACATTGAAAAAATACAGAGTGAATACACAGAAGCTGGTTAGTGACCTTACAAGGTCACAGCTTGCAATCAAAACCAATTAAGCTTATGTAACAGGCAATTACTTAAGACAACAATGGCAGGTACTAATCAGTCAATTACAACACAATCCTGGGTTTGGGTGTCATTGTGAATGCCTCTACTAAAAGTGCTCTCAAAATTCATTTCACATGCCCCCACTGAAAGTGCTTTCCGTGCTCATTTCTCAGGCAGTTAGACTAGGGGGGTGGGTGGGGGGGGGGGGGGGGGAATGACCATCGGCAAAATGATGCTTTCACTGACAAGGCTCCAGTAACAAGACAAATTGATAAACTAAAAAAAAAGTAAAACAAATAGGCTCCCTTCAAAATTGCAACATGGATGTATATACGTCTAATCAGCTTCTTTTTTTTTACCTTCACAAAGGAATTTTCATAGTAATACTTAATACATTTCTACCTGAAGTTACCCGTAATTATTATACATTCTTTTTGTATTTGGGGGACTTTTGCCAACTTATCAAAATTTGAAGCAACCTGGAAAGATATTCTTCAACTCTTTTCAAGTCTGTACATTTCCTCTAAAACACACGCCTCATTGAAATACTTGGAGTACTAAATCACAAACGAATGGAATAAGGAGGTTAAGGTTTTTGTTGTTGTTAAAATTATACAACAATGTTGAAGTAAATCTCTGTATTTGCTCAATGTATGAAAACTGAAATTAAGTTTTTATACTCACAGTGAGATCTAGTTCATCTAGTGCAGTGTTTGAATTGTTGTTGATGGCCACCAGTAGAGCCATAGCCCCCGCAGCCGTTATGGGATTCATTCCAAGCTGCAGAAAATAATAATGATTAATAAATAACAAAAAATAACAACAAATGACACAATTGCACAAAACTACTTGCACTTCTTGATGAAATGGCTTTGGATTTTTTTAGAATCTCAGAAATCCCTAAGAAAGGCCACTTCATACTCAGTGTGAAAGCAAAAGGAAATTGATGACTTCAACTCAAGTTTCCGTGCTGCAAATTTGCAGAAGTTGAACACATTTTCAACTTCAACGAATGTTTCCTGACGTCAAATTTGCTTCGGCCTAACCTGACAATGCAAAACTCTGTCTCTCTTAAAGGGAATTAATATACATCATTTGCTTTTACTGTAATTTTCAGAAATGGATGGAATTGGGGGGTTGGAAATATATAGCAAATATAGTTACACTGACTTTTTTGAGGTTTTGGGTTCGAAAATGCTATAAAAACCAAGAAAAACAATCATTTTCCTGTAGTCTGGTTCCCTGACTCCATATAAGAAGAAACAGAGCAGTTTACATACATTGGGGAATTGTAAGGTCAGGGAACCAGTCTAGCTGGCTCGTACCCATTCATAGGTTTGTAATCGATGCAAACAAGTGCAATGGTCAATTGGGGCCAGTATTTGAAAAAAAAGCCAGTTTTTTTTTCCAACGCTGATCAGCTGATCAGCATTGGAAATTGATACAAAAATACCACTTTTCTTGAAAATGACAACATACCAGGTGCCATGATTTTACAGGATGCTTTACACTGTCATTCACTAACAGTCCAGCAAGGTATTTCAAAAGATTTGGTAGTTTTATTTTTTGATGTTTGCAAATGTTGTATTTTCCCTTTAACAAACACATGTGTCAATTGAGGTGATGGAACAATAAAAACCAAGATTGACTGAAAGGCGTTGTCAACTTAAACTGTTGGTGCAACACACACCCACAACTGAGTGTGTATTTGCCTGCAATCGGGGACCCCCTATTGTCCCTCTTTTGTTTGTACACAAACTCTTTAGGAAGACCTCCCATATGTTTTGTACACGAATCCAAATTGGGGACCTCTCGGAAATTGGGGACCCTAATGTCCTCCATTGTTCAACGTACCATATTGAATACAGAAACAAACTCATGAACACAATTAAATTTGCAGTACACCATATACATCAGGAATTAGCACCCCAATGTTCAAATCAAATTTCTTTTCTTTTGGCATTGGCTTATGATGTCATTAATGTCACATTGCAGATTAATGAGACAGACTTTAATACGGAATTTGACTAAGGAGCACCCCAGGCTATATTTCAATGGTAAAAGTATACATAGATCTTTTGAGTAAGCACAAAAACCAGATTTTTTGAATTCCCATAAGAATGCAGAGTGAGGTAATTCACAAAATAATACCTTCTTCCCTATTTTTGTAGCAGTGGGAAATCCATTAAAAGAAAGTTTTCAGAAGAGCAAGGACTAAGCAATTTGAAAAGAAAATCCAAGCTTCACTCACCCTGAGTATCTGCAATGAGTCGTTGACTTCTAAACCTTTAGACAGGAGCAATGCGCCTTCGTCAGCTATTCTATTATTACTGATATCCAACCACTGAAGGCTGCTGTTGAACTTGAGCGCTTCAGCCATGGCTAAGGCTCCGTCATTGGCAAAACCATTCCAGGACACGTCCAGCCTCTTGATGGATAGATTTTCCTGGTGAATTCAAAGAAAGTTGGACAAAAGAGACTAGTGCTATATCATGCTTTATCTTAGATTTAAATATCAAAACTGAGGCAATTAACAAGCTGTTTGTATTTGCCACAGGCCTTGCATGGCCCAATTTCATAGCATTGCTAAGCACATATGGTTTTCTGCTTACAGAGCCTTTATCTATTTCATAGAAAACGTAAGCATTTAGCACACAAAAGGTATGCTTAGCTCAGAGGAAAAATTAGTTAAATTAGTGGTCCGTGGGCATGCAGCCATTGGCACATCCACGCCATGAAATAGTGCTGAAGATTAGCACAATTTTCTGCAGCAGTTAGAACATTAATCTATCGTGGTAGAATCACGTTAACGGAGCTTGCGAAATATTGTCCAATTACATGATATGCAAATGGAGCAAAACGCGCAAAATCTGAGACAAACAAAACTTAACGTACAAAATTCCATAGTATTGTCTAAGGGGCGAGACTAACTCGCAAACGGCGATAGATCAATTTTTGTTTGTTAAGCAGCACTATGAAATTAGGTCCTGGTGAAAGTGAACAGTTGAGAATTCAAGTTAGATACGAGTAAATGGCCTTGTTATGTACAAAACACAATAAAGATCTAAATTTGGTAACAGGCAAATTCCTCCTCCAGAAATAAGTTAGGAGAAACCTTTCTACTTACTGCCATGCCTCTGCATATGGATATTGCACCGTTCCTCCTGAGATGATTCCAGCTCAAGTTGAGGTTACTTACAGACTCAGTAGCAGCTGAGTAAAAAACAAATTCAGAAATGGGGTTAACAGTCTATCTGACCTGACTTAAAAAGAGTATTTTGGAGGGGACCATGAGCAGTGAAGAGGAAAGTGTGCATTTGACAGTAAATTAAGTCTGTTCTGAGCTAATATGGCTCATTAGGCTAGTGTCCATCTCAGGTTTCTGAGGCATTAATGACTGAGAATATTTTCCCATGTGCATGGGATTTGCTAGTTCACTGCAGGTATATACTCCCCAGCCAGTGGCGTAGCCAGGAATTTTTCAGTGGGGGCGCTGGGGGGGCTAGAACATTTCATGGGGGGGGGGTCATGTAGATCAATGATAATTTTTTTAGAAACTCAAAATCTCAATGGGGGGCGACAAGGTTTCATCGGGGCCTGTCCCCCCCCCCCCCCCCCCACGCCCCCCCCCCCCACCCCCCGTGGCTACGCCACTGTCCCCAGCTAAATCCGGTACCCTTCACACACCTGAGTGGAAAGAGCTAAGTGGGGGTAAAGTGGCTTGCCCAAGGACACAACATATGGCCAATGGCTGGATCCGACCCCTGACCCTCTGACCATGCATCACAAATCCCTATAACCACTAGGCCACATTGTCCGGATTTGGTCACGCAAATTAATAGCTCACGGTGACTTCTCATGAAATTGACAGGAAAATGGATATTTGAGAAAAAGATGAAGGTAGTGTGATGATTAATATTCTTAATTGATGTGGAGATTAAGGGATCAACATCCTATCCTTCCAATTAATAAAACGGGAATATGCGAAATACAATTGTTTGATGCAAAGGCTTTCCTGTCAGAGCTGTGACCTGTCCCCACGAAATGGATTTTAAGTTGATAATTGCCATTTTACAGTACAGTGGTGCAAAAGCCAAAATTTGAAGGGATGGTAGTTTTTTTTTTTTCTTCATGTGAACCTCAATACCTGTCTCCATTTTTTTCTTTCAAATATCTTTAAAACCTATTTCATCCCATTTATTATATTGACTGTTCATTCATTGTAACACAATTTTAGTAGATTTTTAAATGCCATTTTCTCAAGAACAAGTTTTACCACTAATTGAGTAAGTGGTCTATGTTTCCATTATCGAACTCAGTACCCCTAAATATTAGATACCATTGGAAAGTTCTTGTTCTACAGAATCCAGACAAATAAATATCTCAATTCTTAAAAAGTCTGACTTTGAGCTCATTTTGTGATGACAGGTCATATACATGGTACATGTACATGTATATAGTTTGGAATACAAGTAAAGAGAATATACAACATTTGCAAACATCGAAAAATAAAACTAACAAGTTTTTACGAAATACCATACTAGGATGTTGGTAAATGACAGTCTCAAGCATCTTGTAAAATTATGGCACCTGGTGTGAAGTCGTTTTCAAGAAAATGGTATTTTTGTATACATTTCCAACGGTGGTCGGCCGACCAGCGTTGGAAAAACCTAACTATTTTTCAACTAGTACTGCTCCAAATTTACCATTTTTTTTTCAGTCCAAATTTTGTTTGCTATTGGTTACATGTTCACGAACGGGTGCAGGCCAGTTAGACTGGTTACCTTGCCTTACAATTTTCCATCATCTATAAATTGATCCATTTTATCTTTTGTGGAGTCAGGGAACCAGACTACTTGAAAATTTTTGTTTTTCATGGTTTTTCCAGCATTTTCGAACACAAAACTTCAAACATGTCAGTGTAACAATATTTGATCTATTATACTAACCCCTCAAATAGTTCATTTCCGAAAATTACAGCAAAAGCCAATGATGTGCATTCCCTTTAAACCCAAGTTGAATTTTCAGCAAAATTTAACTTTCTTGATAAATGATTGCTTCTCAACTATGAAAACATTTCCACATCTAGTTTTTAGTAGGCCTATCTTCAAGGGATGTACCAGGGACGCATCACTCCCATCAATTCAAATTCCATTCAACCTGTTTAATTATTGCCACCAGTGACAACGTCAAGTCCATCACAAGTCCATCACAAGTAAATCACAAGTCCATTCACAAGACCAGACACAAGACCAGACACAAGACCAGACACAAGACCAGACACAAGACCAGACACAAGTAACAGGGGATGAACAATAACAACAGAAATGCCTTTGTCAAAAGCTCACTTGAACAGCTTGTGAGTTGAATTGGGACTGGAGGACTTGTGATGGACTTGCAGGGACTTGTGATGGACTCGACTACAACAATGATTGCTATTCAGGCTGTTGACGTTGTTGAGTGCAAAGGGCATTTTAGAAGTTAATCATTAATTTCAGGGCATATCTAACACATCTGCCTGTTGAGTGTTTACTGTTGCCAACGGTAGCAGGAATAACCCAAGGCCATTTATTATGTTCAGAATACACTGCCGTATAATGCAGTCCTCCACTTGTTAAGATTTTTTTATTGGTGTTTACACACTATGGATGGTGGAATCAAATTGACTTTGGATTGGTTTGCATTCATCAATATTGTATATTCGATTACTAGAAGGGTAGCAGGGAAATATGCAATTCTATTCTGAAAGTAAACAGCTATTCGCTGCCTGATGTACCGTGTTGAAACAAGATTTTAGTTTGATTCCATTTAATTTAATTACTTTTTAACAGTTTTGTTTCACCTAATACATGTACATACATTTGTTGAGAAATTTTGAACAAAATTTTCTTGGCACATAAAATGTTGTTTCTAATTCTGAAAATATATTCAACAAATTTGCAATATGTACATACAATAATGATTGGTGGGCAAACGCTCAGTTAAAAAAAAAATTGAAAATCACTAAAACATTTTTGTTTCAGTCCAGTAACATTCAAAAGACTATCGTTATAACATTTCCAGGAAACGTCAACATGAATTTCAAGCAAGAACTAGAAAAATGCCATCGCATCATGATCTTACCAATGCCCTGGCCCATGATCTCCCCACCAATCTCGGCGAACTCATTATGGCTGAGATCCAACTCCTTTATTCTGTAGTTATTCTGAGAGAAATAAGGGGAGGTAATTAGCTCATTACACAAAAAAATATATAAAGGTTCTATAGAGGTTTGTCATCATGACAGTGTAAAGAATATTGGGACTGCTGACACAAGTTTAAAGTTCTTTCTGTAGTTGTTGATGAACAAATGTATTTAAAGCTACAGTCCATCATTTGCAGCTATCCAAAAAGTAACTGACATCATTATTGTTGAAAAACATACTTGGCTTAAAGATAGTAAGGGGTCTAAAATCCTTGTGAAATTATTCTTTCTGACATGCTGTCATTTTGAAGACATCAATGAAAGAAGGCCTTTCCAAGGATGCGTCTAAAGACACGTCGTTGGAAATTTCCGTCAGTAGTTGTTTTTTTATTCGGCGAAGCACGCACAAGCGTTGACACGACGCGTAGCTGCAATCAGCTCAGTGCGAACATGTCTCAGACGCTGAATTCAGGCCCAATTAAGCAATTCAGCAACTTTTGATTTGAAATCAAGATCCTAAAATGTTGTTTTTCTCGGAATATACAGCATTCACTGAGCTGAAACTTCGATCAGGTTAGTTGTTTAGCACCCTTCTTTAGATTTTGAGAACATTTGCTGCTTCTAACGAACAAAATGCACAAATTACAAATGATGGACTGTACCTTTAAAGCAATCTGACATATTTCAACTTCTATGTACATGTTCATCACATGTACATAACATTTGGAAGTTTCCTCCTTCTGGGTCAAATCAGGTTTTCTCATTCAGGATTATATTTAGGAACTAATTTTTAGGGTGTCATTTGAATACCTTTATTGCATCTGCAAATGGCTGGGCATCTCGATCCTTGAAGTCGTTTCCTACAAACAAAAACAAATCCAAAAAGGGTTTAATAAAAAGTCATGATACATAGAAAAATATGAGGTGTCCATTTTCAATGTACATATTGTGTGTTTACCGGTTGTGTGCGTATCCTGAAAGTCTATGGGTGTGTTTTTCCTTGAACACTTGACGGACCGTAAAAGCTCAAACAAAGAGCATGCAGCAGTTGCAAGTAGAAAAATCAAGCATCTATAACATTTTGATAAGCTGTAACTTTTCAAGAGAGTACACAGGAATGGAATATTCAGTGTTTTATTAATGAATAGAAAAATTATAACCAAGGCAAGCTTTATTTAATTTCAATGAGATCCAAAACATAACAGACACATGCATTTTTGGCATAAGCAGTTTGTTCTTACCCACTTTTATTGTTTCGTGGCAGTTGAAGATTTTTTCGTCAATTTGTATTTGTTAAAAGACTGTAAATGCTGGATAAGATTAAGAATCTGAAAATATGACAGAAACTTCCATTTTTTACCTGCCACATTGATCTTCCTGATGCTTGTGTTATCATTCAGCATCTCTCCTACAACCTTGGCACCCTTAGAACGCATCTTGTTTCCTGCCAAATTCTGGGGATAAAAATCATGAAATGTCACTTAACTGCAAAACTAATGCTAAGACCACACATTTCCACATATGATATGTATAAAGAAATAAACAAATAAACAAAACACCTTGATTTTAAATAAGTGCCCAAAACTTAATAAATATCATTTATCTTGTATTCTTTTAAAGATGTACATGTATTCCCCTTGCTATTTTCGAGTTTCACCTCAAAAAATCGATTACGTTTTTTCAATTGCTATTTTCCTATCAATACAAAAGGTATTCACTTTTGAATAAAAAATCGAATGAAGAAATCCAACGTTTAGTTATTAAATTATTTCTCCACAAAATTTGAACTATTGCCTGCAAGACAATAATTCGGTCCAGGTTAATTTGTGCGTTAAATGAGGGTTGCAGATGCCCAAAATCAAAATAAAGTAATTTTTTTCATTGGAACAAAATATACATTATTGAAAATTCAATAGAACAAAAAAAAAAATCAATTTTTGGAAGAGCACGGGGTATGCAACTTTAACTTAACACAATTATACTAAACAAATCTGGAAAGTACATCGACATTATGACTTACCAAATCACTAATGTAGCAATTTTCCTTCATCATCTCGGATATGTAGCCCGCCCCCTCACCCTCAATCCAGTTATCTTCAAGGTCAAGGGTCAAAACTGTTGTATTTGTCTATCAAAAAGGGAAAAATAACATGTGAGAAAAAATTATTATCAAAAAAGGTCAAACACTTTAGCCACCATAACTTAAAAAAAATAATTCTCAATTCAAATAGCCCTGAATACAACTTAACAAAAAATGTAAGAGTAGCTTTTTATCACCCCCTCCATGACTTTTGCTGGTCCCAGAGGGCCAGACTATAAAGTGTCCTGTTTAACTATCTCACTCACTGACTGACCTACTCACTGTCTCTTTTGACTTAGGCCATAGTATGTCCAAAATAGGCCTTCGAAGGCTACAGTTATCGTTAGCATTTGGCTGCATAGTTGCAGTGGACAAAGGCGACCTAGACAGTAGCTCTACACCATATTCGGATGCGGCCCCAGACTGGTTACCACTGACCGACTGACTACCGGTCACTTTAGACTGTTACTCACAACCAGAGGGATAGCGATCGCCTTTGCCCCTTGAGGACCCAGCCCGTGATGCTTCATGCTGATCTTGTTGGTGGTAATGTGACGCAGGAAGTGAGACACGGGAACAACACCGAGGTCCTTGCAGGCTTGGATGTAGGCCCGCCTCCCTGTGGCATCATAGGTTTCCTTGGAGTCTTCTGAAGACCCCAAAAAGATGGTAATGAAGAACAATTAATGTTGACGCCTAGTGCATTTGATAATTATCACTTAGGCACTTCTTTGGACTACTAACGAAAATGAGCTACTTTTAGAGAAAAAAAACCCATTAATTTACAAGTTTCCACAAATATAATATTTAACCGTTTTGCAAACACAAACAAATTGGGTACTCATTTCAAATATAAATGTACATGCCTTTTACAAAAGTCATTTCAAGTTGGAAATTGGTAAACGAATATCTTAAATGGGTTTTGAAACACATTTTGTGTACATATTATACAAGGCCAATTTGAATGTAACTCTTTGAAAAAGATTCTGCAATATTTGGACTCTATTTTCCACTTATCAAACTGTGCCAAGGTTCATCAGATACAATTCTCCCATTAAATCCCAAATTATATCTACTTGGCCAGTAACACTTTACAGATGCCTAGCAACAAAGTGATTGACTGTAGGCTAGGGACTTGGGTCATGATGGGTGTTGAAAAATTCACTTGTTTATACTACATCTATGTTTTACTCCCTATGCCTTTTTGCTAAGATGTAGCCTCAAAATCCTGCAAAATTCTCCAATTGACCTCATTTGAAAAATAGCATTATAGCCTTAATCCAGCAAATTCCTCCATTAATTTTTGAATATGGTCCGTGATGGAGGGGTGACCGCCTGAATCCTGCAAAATCCTGCGACAGTGACTGCAAAAATATGTTGAGGCTTGGCCTGTGACATCCTGGAGCAGTACGGAGGATTTTAAGCATAATCCAGGCCTATGTTTATGCATGGCTGAGCAAAAACAACACAAGGTCCAGCCCAAGCCCTTGACAAAGTGCATCCTACGAAATCAGTAACGCACTTTTGCCACGGTAACCTCCATCCTACAACCGCCACTTTGGCAAAGAGGATTTTGAAGGATTAAGGGCAGTTAGGGTTAAGGAACAAATCACAACTGAATTATTTTTTAATTTCAAAAATGCCCTCTTTAAATTTCAAGTCTTGAGACCAATATCCTGAACGTTCACAATATTTAAAGGTTCCGTGCTTGTTTTCCACTGCTATTGGAGCTCAATCCTGTTTGCATGTTGGCAAACTTCCAGTCCACTTTCGAGCACAATCCACTAGTGCCACAGGAATTATCCTTTCTCTACGGTTCAATACACTAACTGGCCTCCCAAGTGTTTGTCAACTTGCAGAGATTTATGCAAAGTATCTCTTTTCACTGGGCTGAGTGTTCCATGAAAAGAAACCCGTCTATTAATACCAGTTAACACATCAAGGATGACACGGCTTTGTGCTGGTGCCTAGTGTCATGAATGGATGGGCCCACCGGTGCGCATTTGTGAAGGAAAACAGCAATCTCATGTTGGAGAGAAAAAGGGCTAATAAAGCTGTTGAAGTAAACAATTAGGCATGTATTGAAATAGAGATAGGAAACAACTCTGTGGCAATGGATGATCTGTATACATGTACATCATACATGTACATCTTCATTGTGCCTTCTCTTTTGAAAGTAAAACTTACCTTCCACAGGCAAGATATTAAGAGTCTCTTTTTTTCAAAAAATGTGTCAAAACTTCCCTGGTTCTGGTTTGAGGCTTTTTACAAACATGTTATAAGATTTGAGGCTTTGCATGGTGGGGTATCGGTATCGTTTCGGTTTGCGGTAACACCATGTGGTAATAACTACTGCTTAGAAGATATTAGTTCTGAAAAGAACTTGTCCTGCTTATTATCAACTTTGCTAAGTAGTTTTTTGTTCTGATAAGAACAGTCCTGCTGTAAGTTCTAAACGAACTTGTCTTTGGTCTCAACGTTTCGACTAGCCAGCTCTAGTCATCGTCAGGAGACTCTTAGAACAGAACAAAAAACTACTTAGCAAAGTTGATAATAAGCAGGACAAGTTCTTTTCAGAACTAATATCTTCTAAGCAGTAGTTATTACCACATGGTGTTACCGCAAACCGAAACGATATCAAACATGTTCTAATCAATTAAAATCTGATTGTCAGTGGCACATTTCAACAAAACTGCTGATTTCCTAAAAACTGTAACAACTCTAAAAGTTCCACACCCGGGCTCTTTCCCCTCCCCTAACTGACTCAGTATCAATCAAAAATTTCGAATGAACAAAAAAGATGTTTAAAAACCTTTGTAAACAGACTTTACATTGTTTTAACTCAGTATGTGTAGTTTTATACTATAGGAACAGATTCGTATCAGACAATGAGCATCCATTTTGATAGAAAGCTGGCAATGTTGAAAGGCAACAGCAGGTTCCTAGAAAAAGGACAGGGTGTCTAATTTAGAGGGAAATTATTGAGTGAAGTGATGACAATGATGATAAAGCACAACATGAAGATGAAGATGGATTGCAAGCTCAATATGGGATGAAAAGTGAGTGAACAAAAGGAAAGAATGCCCTGACGCCAATTTGTTCATCTTAATTACATTTTTTAATAACTCAATGAAGGTCAGTCACTGCAGAAATGTTACAAAGACATGAATCTATAGGACTGAGAGGCGTTTCCAATTTTGTTAGAAAATACTCTAAGAATGCACTCAACTCTCCCATAGAGCATATAGAGCTAGAGCAAGGAGACTACCAAAAACTTGGCATCTGGATACTTTCCCTCCATATTTTACCTTCTATCTCCAAATCAGTGTCCCATCCACTATCGGAGTCCTGGTCTGAATCATGGATCACTTTGATGTTTACCGGGGTATCATATCTCTCCGACAAGGCCTGGGACCCGGGCCGTGACTCGCTGCCTTCCCCAGAACCCGTCGGTGTGCCCCGGCCGTTTATCTCCGTACCGCTCGATGACATGTGGACTGCCGACAGTGGCGGTCCGTCCGCCGACGAACGCGTCGATCTTCCCGCCCCGCTTTTGGCTGAGCCGCTGGTGGCCGATGCGGTCTCGTCGTGGGCAAGTGTCCCTTTACCTGTGGTGATGTAGTCTTTTGTGGTACCACCAACGTCGCCCTGGTATGTACAAAGGGATGCGAGTGATAACAAAGTTTGGACTTTGTAATGGAATCCCGTTTTTTTAACAAAGAGTGAATGAAACACGATTCCGCGAGGCCGGCGCGCGCGGCGACACTGACAAAGTTTGCGAGAGATGGTTGTCATGGCAACGTTATCACAGTTGGAACTTTTTATGTTGCGAATGCGAGTAAAGCTTAAATTTTGGGGTGCAACGAGACAGTAGTTTAGCAACAGTTTTTTACAGATGCTTTGACCATTATTTATAAAGAGTTTCACCCCCCAAAATAGTATTGTTTGAGGTAACGAAAAGCAACGGCGGATCCAGAACACAATGGGGGGGGGGGGGGGGTGTCCCAAAAATTACTAGGGCGGAGTAGGGCCTACGGAACACTGGTGCCTAGGGCCTACGAAACGCTTAATCCGGGCCTGGAGGCGTGCTGAAATGTCCTCCGAAAATCAATAGGTCGGGGCGGGGGGGGGGGGGGGCTGGCGTACCATATTTTCATGGGGAGCACTAATAATATCCAACAATCATGCACAAAAATTCCCTTCTAAACACAACAAAACAAACTTTTGGGGTGGCTAAAGCCACTATCCCCCCCCCCCCCCCAGAACCGCGCCTGGAAACCTGCCTACTGGCAGGGCAGTCAGCTGTGCGAAAGCTAAAGAATTGCAAAATAATAAATTGCCCTTTCATGGTTGCACATGCCCAAAATTAAAATAGAAAATGTTTTAAATGTTCTCTTGTTGGGCCCAAGATAAAATATTTACGTTGCAAATTATTAAGGGGGACATAAATCGAAATTAGGACCACATCTTTCACTCCTTCCAGCATATACGATTGACGACCGCGTCGCGTCCCGGGTGCTATTTTTCTAGCGTGAAGATATCCCCTCTCCTCATCTCACAACCTCGACCACAACTTAAGCACGCACAGAAACTCGAGGAAGTTTTTCAAACCTGTTCATGTTTTCCTTATCAAGCTTCACCTTCATAATTTAAAAGTTAAAACATTAAGCCGATTTTTTTCTGGCCAAGTGCCCTTTTCTATTGTTTAAACTGAAGATTCCCGAGTGTATAATTTTAACCCCCTCCCGGGGGTGGGGGGGGGGGGCTCCCGTAGACTAGACGAATCCAGACTGCAGAACCGAGATATGGAAACCATCAAAAGAATATGGGCCTTGCACCTATCATGATTGTGTAAAAATTAAGGATGAGTCCAAGAAAAAAACAGCCAAATGTCGGGACCATTGTTTAAGTGAAGTTCTGCTGCATGTAGCACTTTTAAGCCCAATTGATTCGTTCATTTACTTACAAGAATAATTCAAATCACTTACATCATTTTCAGTTAGGCCTATAAGGAAATTTAAACACAACCACCGTTTTAAAGTTCTGTGCACCGATCACAAAAATGTAAGAGTTTTTTTAGCAAAACGAAAACATTATTTGGTGAAAGAACGCGTACACTTTTTTTTTGGGGGGGGGGATCCGTGGACAGAACTTTAAAACGATGGTGTGTTTAAAAATCCGTATAGCTCGAAAAGTTTTGATTGATTTGAATTATTCTGTACGAAAGAGTCGTATCCGCTCGAGATCTCTTGAGTGATCCCTGTTCGCTATTTTCCAGGTTTGCAGCGTTCAGTGCTTAAACGTGACTTTGGGCAAGCATGTAAACCGCCAAAATACAGCTGGATAGCTCAGAACTTGAGTTCAGAATTTTGTAATAAGGTTTTAAGTTGGATTTAGAGGTAGAGTATTATCATTTGCAGCTATATTCATAATAGGATCTGACAAAATTATTGTCGAAGTTTAGGCCTAGTACAGGTTCTACTTTTTAGGGGGTTGGTGTGGAGTGTTGTTTCACATTTTGGTATGAATCATATTTGTCTGAAACGATAAAATATACATCCAATCTGAATAACAATCGATATGTCTACTTATAGCTAGCTCACGATGTGAATCTTTCACTTGGGATGAGTCTTCCATGACGCTTGCGTGAAGATTAACAAATCGATGCACTGCAATCAGGCTTTATGTACAGAAGCAGTGAATCGGAAGAGATAATAAAGGAGGCATTTTCTAAACGTTTTCACCTCAGAATACTGGTATCGATTTTCAGTATCGATTACGTCGACGGTCGAGTCACTTTCTATGGACCTCGCACCGAGTCTTATATATTGGCGTGTATGGCACCGACTCATTACACGTGTGGAAAATCGGTTTTCTGTCGCCAATCACTCATAACATTTCACGACAAGCAAGAACACCACTTTTTTTCTCCATCGGCTGTTTACTTGGAAATACTGTGCATGGATAGCAAACAATGCCCACACCATGAACTCAATTTTGTTTTTCATGCGACAGCATTTTTGGCATATCCAATTGGAAGAAATCCGATGGACCAATTCAGGGGCGCGCGGCGGAATCGGGGGCATTTACCCAATGCCCCTCTTGTGCCCCCAACGCTCGAGCATAAAATGTGCCCCCTCCAGATGAAACCAATCTGGCCCTAAAATTTCGGATAATTTGTTTTCATTAACCACTTCCCCAAATTGCATAGGCATATGGAGTTCTGATATGAACAATAGTGGAATATAACCAAGCCCCCAAACCCTTATATTTTACAATGCGCAATGGGCACAGCAATGCGTAGTTTGTAAAAGGGCAGGTTTAGAGTGCGCCCCTATTTTGGAAGATGGTACCGCCCCCCCCCCCCCCCCCATTTGATTTTACGGAGCCAAGTGTCCGGAGAAAGAAACGTGTCGACATGTCAGCACGGATGTGCCCCCTCCCCCCCCCCCCCCCCAAAAAAAAGCTGGATACGCTGCTGCACTGACGGAAGATGCCTTTTCCTGAGCAAGTGCCCCTTTTTGGTGATCCCCTCCTTTGAAAACTGTTACGCCGCCGCTGGACCAATTAATGTTATTCTTCAAACCTTTTCTTTTGCCGTTTTCCCTTTTCTATTCTTTGATTGGACGTGTTTTTAACGTTCCATTTTCAATTCAGGGGTACTCCCATCAACCGCTCCTCCTAGAGGAGGCGGAACGCTTTTCAAACCGAGGGGACACCAAATAGGGGCACTTGCTCAGGAAAAGGAGCAACATCCGATGTTGCAAAAGTGGAGGAAAAGAATATGGTCCCGTTCAGTTCGCTATCTATGTGCACGTAATGACGATGAACAAAATGAAAAAGTTATCCATCTTGCTCTCTGTTTCTTTACGTAAATAGTTATTCGCGAGAGGGGCACTGTTGCTTTTGGTGCAGCCGTTCAGTGACCATTTAAATTTGTAGGGGGCCAGTTTTCCAATTTTGAGAGGGGGCACAAAATATAATCGAGGGGCAGTTTTCCATCTCGAGAAGTTAGCGTGAGTGGACCTATTGTATTTGATCGACAGTTTTCCATCTCGAGAGGGGCACAATAATTTTATTATTGCGAGAAGGGTATTTGTGCTTTGGAGGGGAAAGTTTTCCATCTCAAGGGGAAAGTTTTCCATCTCGAGAAGGTGTAACGTTAATGCGAGAGGGGTACTTACAAGTGTTTTGAGAGGCACTGTTTGCGTTACAACTCAGTGCGTTGACCTCCCGAGTGAAAGTTGGAAAAATCACTTGGGTGGACTCGAACCCACGACCTCCTGCTTTCTAGTGCAGACGTCTTACCACTCGGCTTGCGGGATCGGTTGGCTGGTTTGATTCTGATGTACATGTAGCAGCGGGTACCGCAATTAAACAATTCATAAGGTGGAATTTTGGGCCCGGTGTTATGATAATCAATATCAGTTTTGCCCTTCTTTTTATTGTTATTTATTTATGTAGAAGTGTAGGCCCCTACTGCTTGATTTTGTTTTCCAACTGTGACAAACAGCCCCTGAAATAACAATATCAAGGTTAAGGATACACGTATACATGATATTGACGGGAATCAAGCATTATATAAAAAAAAAAACCCGGAAAGTCCCACATCTGGCCATCACCAGTTTTTCCCTTCAGTGACTTATCAGCCATCAGAAAGTGATCATTATGTGATCATAATGTCCTCAAAAGTCAAATTTAGCAGGGAAAGTATTTACTGAGAAGACACTTAGAAATTTTCAGACCAGTCTCACAGGGTTTGTGCACAAGGTGACAAGTGATGGCCAGATATGGGAATCTTTCCCAAAAAAACCTGAGAAGGCTTAAGGAATACTTCCATTTTGGTAAGAGACTATAGTGTGCTTGTCGAAACTCCTTAGTCGAAACTCCTAATTTATTTTAAAATTCAAATCGCCTGATAAAGTTTCACGTTAAATCACAGTCATCCTTTCCCACATTTCTTTCACTATTTCTTCAGGACAGGGCTTCGATTAACACCACCCCTTACAGTATGGGGTCTATCCGATGTTCCCCTATAGGCCTATTAACCTATGATTATGCTCCCCAAAAATCCTTAGGGTTAGGGTTAGATGGTTAGGGTTGGGGAACATAGGTGGGGACCATAGGTATGCACCCTTGTATTTTGAACGGTCAGAAACCCCCTTCACTCAAGCACATGAACACAAACTACGGAAGTAAAACTGCATTTTACTTACCTCTTCGCCACTCTCACGAATGCGCACATTTTGGCCCTCGTCCATGCTTCAATAAACTAAATTAAGCGGACCAACTGTCGGCCTAAGTTACATTCACTTATTCTGAACTAAAAATGTGGGTTGTAAAGGAATTCAGTTGAAGAGCAGAAACAACAACTGAATCTCTGGAATCCTGCTGATCTTGTTTGCTTTTTCGATGGTGAATGGCTGTGGCACTTGAAGGCTACACTATGTGAATGAATGGGATAACCTAACAAAACAGTGTTTAGTCATGCGTTCCGCTTCGAAGAACACGACGTCACGCGCGCGATAGGGTTTCCGCGTCCCGTCACCACAACAACGCAATCAAAGAACACAATGGGAGGACAACGTGTACGGTACGGTACGACAACACCGAAATGTACATGAAATTTACGTTCAGTGCACGTGGATGCCTTGTTGACAAACCGGCGCCATGATCAGTGAGACTTGCATGGTTCATTTTTTGTCGAGTTTAGCAGTTATTAATGTTACCCTTACGTGTCAAAATGTGCATTGTTTTCCATGCGCTGATACTGGCCCAAGTCAGGTGTTGTGCTTGCCTAGAGTGTGATTATGCACGTTTACTCATTTTTGATCAGTTGATGTCTACATGTATATTTACCTACATATTTGTATCCAAATACTCTTCAAATCTGTCACAAAGCCCTGGGTGATATGGAGAGTTTCAAATGGACAGCATATACAATGTGTAACGCTTAATCCACCTATAGACCTTTATCGTGTTGCGGCCATCTTAATTTTCTCCCATTCGAATCAACGTAACCAAAGCGAGGCTAGAAGGAAAAATCGTCGGGTCAAAGCAGAAAGGACTTATAAGCCAGTATTTCAAGATAATCGAGTTTGAAGATTCACACTGCTTTGAAAATTGCAAAATGTTATTTAAATAGTTTAAATTATGCATATTGTTAAAAGGGGGTTCTTTACTCTTTAATTACTTGCCATTTTTTGTAACTTAATTATTTAATAACAGCTAATTAAAAAAATAAGACCTTTTGGTGCATCCCAATATTATACTGAAAGAAATGACAAAAGGACAAAAAGGTGCGTGCAAAAAGGTCCTACAAGCTCTTAGGCCCTTTTTGCATTTCCCAACATTATCAGTTATTTCAAACAGAAGGTCTTGCCTGTTTAAAGGAAAAAAAGGCTTATGAGTTTATAAGGCCTTTTTGCTCCCAGTTGTATGCCAAGATCAGTATAAGTCCTTTTAAAATTTCTTAATTAATCCTTAATTGGATGAATAATTAACATAAAACCTCTTTGGGATAAAGACTGTACTGAAAGTAAACAGTTACCATCAAAAAACAAAAATTGACCTAAAGCATGGTATAAGCCCTTTCTGCTTTGACCCAACGAAATAGTCTGTTCCTTTTTGCACAAAAAAAACATCATTTAGTACTAACAGTTATTGGATACAGGGAACATGCATGACTGATGATGGTGGCAACATGGTAAAGGTCTATAGCGTCTGGCCAAACCCCTTCCCATGTATTCCAGAAGTTGGGGCCTAAAATCTCCTTAAGCCGAAGACGAAGCCGAAGCCAGTCGTTTCGAAAACGCTTTGCGCGCGATAAAAATATACTGGCCGGCCAGACAAAGAACCAGCAGCCCCGCAAACCAGAGCCCAATTTCATGGCTCTGCTAACCACAGAGTTCCGCGCTTACAATCACCATTTTAAACGGGTGCATACCTATGTTCCCCAATGCAGGTCTATGTTTCCAAACCCTAACCTTAACCCTAATACCCAACCCTAACCATCAGAATTTGGGGGAACATAGGTATTGGTATTAGTGTCCCGACGCAGCTGGTCCACGTAGGTTAACGTCTGCCCACCTCAAGAGGCTACTACATTGGGGTCCGACGCCTCATAAGTCGGAAATTTCTAACTTATGAGGCGTTGGACCTATGAGGCGTCGGACTTAATATGATACGGCCCCATGTGCGGATTCCCATAGGATGAGTTGGCTCGCAGCTATCTCTGGATGCCGCAGACGCCTACTTCTGATAGTTGTAGAGATCCTTGGCAGGTTGCTGTAGAGCAACCCATTCCTGACTTTGTCTCTCCAACTCACGTCTAGAGCCATCCTCAGCATGCGAGTATAGCAGCCATCGAGTCGAGCCTCTTGCTTTGTAGCCTAGGTCCATGCCTCAGATCCGTAGAGTTTGGCAAGCCTTCCAAGCCTGTGCTTTCCTCACTCTGATGTCCTATAACCAAGGTACTTGCAGTCTTTTCTCACGGCTATAGGGTAGGGCCATCCTTCGTGTTGATTTTACACCCACCGTGTTGATGTTAAAGCACATGACTCTTCCTGGCATTGATCAGCAGGCCAATCTTTTTACATTCCCCTTCCACGCCGAGAGGCAGAGCTTACGTCTTCTCCACCGACAAGACGAGCGATGTCGGCAACAAAGTCAAATTCGGTCTCTCACAGCACCCGCGAGTCGTAGGCCTAGCATACTTAGCAGCCGTTCGTACGTGTGCTGAGGATCGGACCCTTATAGGACACCCATCCGTGATGTTACTGAGGAAGAGGGTGCGGAGTCTGCAAAGTCAGTATAATGACGGCTATAGGCCTACACCAGATTCCTCGGAAAGGATACCACTGTTTTGATGGCTGTACAACAGGGTGTATAGCAAAAAAAGGAAACCCAAATGTAAATGTAAAATATAAAAAATTCTAATGAATATTTTCAAATTAAATGACGATCATGTGAAACGCCAATGTGTCCTCTTTCCAATGATGCCTTGATTGTGTGTCTGTGGCCACGGATGAATGAGCATATTTTGTTGTTATCCTGTCAAATTATTAAGGGTCAAAACCTCACTGGGCCAAGTTTGTGCAAAGGGGGAACTGGTATTCTGGGCGTATGGAACGGCTTAATTCAAAGAAAGAAGACACGCTTTCTTTAAAGCAATTAATCCACTTTTGACACAGTGATTTAACCACTCACATTGTTGAAGTTTAAGCCCTCATGGCCCAATGCCTTCAACGTGGCCACCACCTCTTTCAACACATAGCTCTGCAGAAAGTCTGTACCTTGCCGGTATGGTTTGTTGTAAGAGGACCAGCACAGGCCCGATTCAGGCTCTACGTACCGTCTTGCCGTTATATAGTTTGTCTTAAAAGGGCCTCCACTGGCTTGATTCAGGCTCTGTATACGTCTAGCCGTTAGTTTATCGTAAAAGGACCAGTACTAGCCCGCCTCTCTGTACTATCTTGATGTTATGGTGTGCCGTAGAGGGGCCCCGGCACTAAGGCTGGCCCGATTCAGGCTCTGTGCTCTTGCCGTTATGGTTTGCCGTAAAATGGCCAGCACTGGCCTGAGTCAGGCTCTGTAGTGTCTAGCCTGGACAGGGCCAACACAGGCCCATATAAGACTCTGTACCGTGACCGTATTGCCGTTACGGTTGCGGCAAAAGGACCGGTACTTGCTCGATAAAGGCTCTGTCTTGCCGTCATCATGGTTTGCCGTCCCTGCACGTCACGGTCAAAGGCCCAACTCAGGCTCTGTATTGTCTCACCGTGCTTCCGTTATACATGTAGTTTGCCGAAATAAGGCCAGCACTGTGCACCGACTCTGGCTTTGTACCGTCAACACGGAACCGCTTTGCCTTAATCAACTTGAGTCAGCATGTACTGTAGGCATGGGTTAAACTCAACAGGCTTCGCACCGGCGGAGTCGGGCGTTTCAATGCTGACATGTGGAGGTGGGGCCTATTCCAGATCCCAGCTTGTGAATGCGGAGCGGAGTAGCAGACTGCTGACCGCATTATCTTCGAGTACCCCCTCTATCGCCCTCTGAACGAGTACCATGGCCTGATCGATGTTGATGCAGATGCAGCAACTCGAGAGTAGCTTCTCACCAATCACCCTAACTACTTTTTGGGGGGTTTCACACGCAAGAAGAAGAAGCATTTTATAGTTGGCCCACTGTCTTGTATATAGCCTGCATGCGTTTAACTGTATACGGTACTGCCCGAAAAGGAGTGGAGCGGCAGCTGCTAGGCCTAGGAGAGCCGAAAAGGAAGCTACATGTGGACTAGTTTGGTCACGTTATCGTCAGATGTTGGCTGTCCAGATCATGGAAGGAAAGATGGGGAACAAGGAAGAGGGGGCGTCAGAAAAAGTGGTTTGACCAGAATTCCGGCATGATTGATGAACTTTGTACAGGCCAAGCGTTTTGTTCAAAACAGGAAAGCTTGGAGGCAGGAGATGGGAACGCTACAGGATTCCCAAGTTATTGTGATAAACGATAGCCTTCGGACAGCACCGAGTATATATCGTTTTAAACACGATTTGTTGGTGTATGTAAAGCGCGCGAGAAATTAACATCTCTAGCTCTCCGGAGCTCCGATGATGGAAAAAAAAAGTGAAACGGAATCCGTGCGCCAACTGAGGGCGCCACACGCCGCGACCGTAATCCGCAAAAGACTTTTACACACATCGGTTTCATTCCCGATTTGGCTTTAAGCTCCAGTTTCACGATTTAATGCCCCCCGAAGTGAAAGACAAAAGCTCAGTGTCGAATCATGTAAATATTAAATATTATGAGGCCAAGTTGTAGAGTATTTTCTTTGGCTTAAGTACTTAAAGATTTTATAATATAATATATTCTAGCGGAAGACGACTCCGGAACGAAAACGAGGTTTTGATAATTGAGCCGACCCGGATCGATCCCACCCACAAAATGTAAACAACGTAATTCTCACTGCGTGCGTGCGTGCACTCATTCACGTACACCCGTGGTGCACTACCTGTAATGTACATGAGTCACTGTGTTTACGTGCAGAGTAGTACGCACGGCTGCGGTACGCGGTGTATGTACACAATCACAAACGCTCCGAACACCTTTTGCCTGCTGCTCGCACATAGCAAAGGCCTGTACGCACTGAGTAAGTGAATTAAAGCCGCTTTTATTTTATTATCACCAGGGGCATTAGGGTTTCCTCCATGAATGGACTGACCACTTGACACTAACTAAATTGACGTTCTTTCAACACAATGTTGACGACAATACGGTGTGTTCTGCATCTGGCCGTACAGAGCTTGCGATAGTACTGTACGGCCAGATGCAGTCGGGCTACGTGTGTTCTTTCCTCCATCATTATTGTCCATGGAAAGATTCCCATATCCGACCATCACTTGTCACCCGGTGTACAAACCCTATGTATGACTGAGACTGGTCTGAAAATTTCTTAAAGTTTTCTCAGTAAAAACTTCAATATTTTCCCTGCTAAATTTGACTCTTTTTTTTTTTTTTTTAGGACATATCTATCACTTTCTTACGAAAGCCCATTAGCGCCACTGCAAGTATATATGTTACAGATTATGTAATTCGTTATTACGGATTATTAATTCGTTATTACGGATTATTAATTCGTTATTACGGATTATTAATTCGTTATTACGGATTACTAATTCGTTATTACGGATTATTAATTCGTTATTACGGATTATTTAATTCGTTATTACGGATTATTAATTCGTTATTACGGATTATTAATTCGTTATTACGGATTATTAATTCGTTATTACGGATTATTTAATTCGTTATTACGGATTATTAATTCGTTATTACGGATTATTAATTCGTTATTACGGATTAATAATTCATTATTATACGAATTAAGTCTGATGTTCTCACACGTGGAGAGCACGTGACCAGGGGCCTATGTATATCGCCGCTAGCAGCGCTATATCTTTGCATACAACGTTTGCACTCCTGTGCCATACTTGCCGAGTAATGACTCAGAACGTATGAGTAATTCGTAATAACGAATTATAATCCGTTATAAAGAATGAATAATCCGTTATAACGAATTAAATAATCCGTAATAACGAATTAATTAATCTGTTATAACGAATTGAATAATCAGTTATAACGAATTAGTAATCCGTATAAATAACGAATTAATAATCCGTAATAACGAATTAATAATCCGTAATAACGAATTAAATAATCCGTTATAACGAATTAGTAATCCGTAATAACGAATTAAATAATCCGTAATAACGAATTAATAATCTGTAATAACGAATTAATAATCCGTAATAACGAATTAATAATCCATAATAACGAATTAAATAATCTGTTATAACGAATAAGTAATCCGTAATAACGAATTAAATAATCCGTAATAACGAATTAATAATCCGTAATAATGAATTATTAATCCGTAATAACGAATTAATAATCTGTAATAACGAATTAAATAATCCGTTATAACGAATTAGTAATCCATAATAACGAATTAAATAATCCGTAATAACGAATTAATAATTCGTTATAATGAATTAGTAATCCGTAATAACGAATTAATAATCCGTAATAACGAATTAAATAATCCGCAACTTATATACTTGCAGTGGCGCTAATGGGCTTTCGTACTTTCTGATGGCTGATAGGTCACTGAAGAGAACAATTAGTGATGGCCAGATATGGGAATCGTGGGGTTTGGGTAGTTGAGGACACCTTTTTATGTTATTCTTTAAAAACTTCCCACTTCCCAAAAAGTCTGCAACCTCAGGAAACAAAAACATGCTGTGTAGGCCTAATTAGAAGCAGAAATATATATTTTTTTGCCTAGCTAAGGTCTTGATTTTCCTCAGATATCAAAACCTTGCCTTTGGCAACACTTTAATTGCATTAATTAAATTGAGTTCAGGTACTGCCCGTTAAGGTACACATTTTTCAGAAGATTGCCACAATTTGGGACGTTTGAGTTGTGATTGTTTCCATTTTTTACAGATCGGAGTCATGTCACAGAAAGTCCACCTCACCCCATGCCAGTGAGCCTAACTGTATTTCAAGCAGTGAATACATATATTTTGCTCTTATATTGGACAAGCTGATTTACCCGATCATAGATCGGGTAGGGCGTATTTGTGTTGGGGTTGAAAATGTGGGGAGTTAAATGTAAATGGAGATTTAGTTGAGAAGACATGCAGTTATAGAAAAGCAATTTCTGTGGCCCTATCTGAGGCAATTTCTGACCACGATAATAAAACCACTGTATTGTTTGAACAACTTAAAGATCATCTTTTAAACATCATTTTCAAGTTTGGAGTCATTGAATCAGCTATTCTGAGCAAAAGATTATTATAGTAGGCTACAATTTTTATTTGGGGAAGAAAAAGTGGGGGGGGGGGGGACAAAATGATATTCCCCGCTTTAAGATGTTGGGGTGGGGGCTGGTCCCCTGTCCCCCACCGACTGGGTATAGATAATCACATTTAGGTTTTTGGTTGCATTCTCCCCTAGCGCTTTGTATCCTTTGGAAAAGGCGCTTTATAAATACGGTTATTATCATTATTATTATTAATAAAGCCTTCACGTTTTGAGCCATACTGTCAAGATACATTTAACTTTGTTAGAACTTAGACTAGTGCAGCAAAAAAGGCATCTAGTGACTGTGTAAGGCCAAAAAAAAAAATATTCGGTCTCTGGTCAGACCAAAGTTCCGGAATTGACGCGGCCACGCGGCTTTTTTTTTTTTTTTCCCTTTTTTTTTTTTTTTCTTCAGCTTGGATTGTACAGACAAGGTGGGTACTATTTTGCTTTTTTTGGTGTCCTCATGTACATTGGTGGCCTCCATAATCTGCCTTGGTGCTTTCGATCATTTGCCTTGGTGCAATTTCCCATTCCTTGGTGCTCTTTGGTAAAAAAAAATTGAGGAGGTGCGGAAATAGAGGGCGCTGTTGGAGCTACCGCGGAACATTTTGGAAAAAAAAAGATCGACGCGCATGCTTAAAATCGACGCGCGCGCTGACCAGAGACCGACTTATTTTGTTTTTTGGCCTAACATGATAAAATCAGGCCCCACAAAATATTTTTTACTTTTTTAAGTAACAGGTGGCGACCCTAGCACACCAGCACTCGAAGCAACTTCTTGATAAGAAATTTGTGTTTGGAATGACAGCTATCGAGAATAATAAGGCCAAAAAAAATATATTCTACTTCTGATTACATGGCATTTGAAAAAAGGGTTGGCAGGTAGGGAATTTATTTTATTTTTATTTTTGCAATTTTTTGTTGTGTACGATCATATGGAAGTGTGAGTGTGTAGTCAAGGGTAAAAGGTAGTAATTGATGGCTTTTGGTTTTTTTCCTCATTTTTTCCCCACAAAAAATTAGGGTACCGGTAGGGGCTGTCAAAATAAAGTAGGTAGGGTAACTGGAAGCAGAACTATTTTTTTTTTGGCCCAACCAACACATAACCATACCTTGAAACTTACAGTTTCTGAATTTTTAAGGTAACCGTATGTGTGGAGGAAGTTATATTATTTAACGATCTTCTTTTTCGTATGTTGTAACGATCTTTCAAGTACTAGTATTTTGTGAGAAATCTGTTGTAAATCTCAAAAGGTGTATTTCAATTTCCAGCTAAACCTACTAACTTTATTTAAATCAATTAAGTTATTGTAGTCAGCCTCCTTTTTTTTATTTTTTTTATTCATACATTTTGCACATCTATTGTCAGTACATTGACATCTATTGTCTTTTTATTTGTTTGCAACAAAACTGACGTTTTGTACGCAATTTTGTATCTGCTGAATAGTCGAGGAAATTGAAAAACCCATCTGCCATCTTGGAAAATCTCCCATCTTGGGGGGAAGAAGGGGGGGGGAGGCCCCGCCTCCTTCATTTTTAAAAAAAGGCCGGAGAAACTTATACTTTGTACTCTGCCTAATGCAGGTGTTTCTGAATTTGGAGCTCATCTACAAAGACTACTCAAGAAAAGTTAGGAAAAACAAACACACAAAAACCGAAGTGAACCATGTTCATTCAAAATGGTCACACTTAAGCCCTCTCCCCCCCCCCCCCCAAAATATACTTAAGCTGTGGCTGGTCGTACATGTAGTTTGGCTGAAATGTGCGGTGAAGACATAAAGTCCAAGTCAAGGAAGTTTCATGATGTAGTTCTTGAAAAGTTTTTCAAACTGATTTATTTTTTATTTCTGATGTCATGATAATATTATGGATGTCACTTACTGAGAAGACTTCTTTTTGCCCCGATTATCTAAATCGGGTAATCTTGACACAGTACCCCAGCTAAAAGTGTTTACATGTAGATGCAATTACTTGAAAAGTTTAATTTGTAGGTAAATACATGTACTTTGCACTTTGTACACAAGTTGGCCTTGCTGATAACTGTTCCATTTTTTTGTATATTTTATCTTGCAGCTAATTTTGAAACCAGAGTAGAAAATGCTGAAGCTACAGTGAACATGTAGCAGTGCCCACACTGCACTGTACCAACGTAACACTGTTCACAGAGAAACTCGATAATCTTAAAGAAAACAATATAACTGCTAACTTGAAACTTCAAGTGACAATTAGGGTACAAGTCAGAGACTTGGGCCGGACCATGCTTTGCAGGATCCTTGTGTTTTTACCGTGGCATTGATATCACTCAGGCAGCAATTCATTTTGGACTGTGCATCAGATTTGGGGAGATTCACAACAGCTGTCAAAATGTCTTCAAACAATAAGGAGAAACCCGAGAGCGACAAAAAGAAGAAATCCAAGTCACGGCTGAACATCAAGATCTTCGGCGGCGGCAACAGCAAGAAGAGGGACAACGAGAAGAAGATTAGCGAGGAGTTTAAAAGCCAGGACGGCTCCTACAAAAAGACTCAACCAAATGATGCAGGGGAGCAGAAGCCCACTAAAGAGGTCAAGGAAGTGGAGGATGTTGCCAAAGAGCAGAAGCCGACCAAAGAGGTCAAGGAAGTGGAGGATGTTGCCAAAAAGCAGAAGCCGACCAAAGAGGTCAAGGAAGTGGAGGATGTTGCCAAAGATGAGACTGACTCGGAATCAGACACCAGCGAAGAGGCTGTAGCGGTCCCTCCGCCTACCTTCAGACCGGGAAGAAGGAGACGGTCCCTGTCGGCCTGTGCCGATATCCAGGACACCCGCATTAAGATTAAAAGCAAAGAGGAGGATGTTCAGGAAGAGGAAGAAAACGATGATCAACTGAGTCCATTGCCCTGCTCCCCCACCAGGTCCTGTATACGAGGCCGCTCTGCCACGATTGGCTACTCGGGAGAAGACGTCGTGTCTGAATCGCGGCCACGCAGCGTGAGCTTCTCACCAGAGACAGTGGACCCTCCCCCGCGCAACATGAAGTATCGAGCCTGGATTGAGGCCAGGTCCAAGCCGCCACCAATCAACGTGAAACATGAGAAGCACAAACAAAAGATGGTAAGCATAAAAATTTCCTGTTTGTGGGGAGAGGGGTGGGGATTAGAGATATCGCCACAATGGATACTTCTGTTTATTTCTGTTTGCACCAGAACCACAATTTTTTCTCAACACCCCCACCTCCCCCACCCTAAAAATATAAGAATTTGGGAAATTGGAACCATTTGGATGAGATTAAAAAATGTTCGCCAGTTGATGCTCTGTGTGGGTATGTAAAATTATATTTTTGGTTGATTAAATTTAATTTTAAGGCGAGTGATATTTTGTTTTCATTCTGTTCATCCTACTCACCTTTGTTATTAAGTGATTGCTTTGGGCTTGGAGCCTGCTCCTCACAAACATGTATGTTTGTGTGTATGCAACCAAAGCAAACTGAATGTATGGCTATTCGTTGGTCAATGTGGCCTGTTCCTCTTCATCAAGTAACAGAAGATTTTGATATTGGAGAGTGAATGTTTTTTCTCAGTAGTTAACTCCTCGAACACATCAATTTCAATGCAAACCAACATATTAGGCCAAGTAAAAAAAAAGGGGCCGTATCATGAGTCCGACGCCTCATAGGTCCGACGCCTCATAAGTCCGAAATTTTGGACTTATGAGGCGTCAGACTTATGAGGCATAAAATTTATTTATTCCGCCTCATAGGTCCGACGCCTCATAAATCCGACGTCGGAAAAATGAGGCGTTTAATTTGTTGGACCTACGAGGCATCGGAGCTATGAGGCGTCGGAGCTATGAGGCGTCAGACTTATGAGGCGTCGGACCTATGAGGCGTCGGACTTATGAGCGGACCCCCCCAAAAATACCAGTTGATCGTCCCCGCCCCCATCCTTTTATTGAAGCCGCATCCTTTTTCAAAATGGGCAGTTACCGGTATTAGTACCAAAGTTTTCCTGCGTATTCTGGTTCACGTGCAGAGCTTAAGTGTATGTTAATTTGCATTAATGCGCTGACCAGCGCGTGAACCAGAACAAAGACGGATCACACATTGGTAATCTATTGAAGTTCCTTTGAAGACATTTACCCCCTCTGAATTTGGAAATTCATAATCCTTTTGTCAAGATTTTACCCAGTATGTTAAAAAGGTACAAAAAGTATAATATTGAACTTTTTGATTCCCCATACATGAAAACCAGTTTATTTATTCGACATTATCAGCGATCTTTGGGACCATTACCTGAGTGGTGAGCTAGCTTTGTTAGTTTTGTTGAAGTGAAAATGCAATTGAAAAGATACAATAGAACATGTGTGGATTATTGGCAGAATACTTTTAAATTAACAGCTGGCAGTAATTTTGAACTGAAAAATTGTCTGGCCGTTTTTAATGTAAAAGCTACCGGCAACCATCTTGGAAAAAAACATAATAAAATAAAAAAGACCCTCCTCCTCTCTTCGAAAAAAACGCCCAGACAATCAACTGGTATTTTTTTTTTTTTACTTTGGACTCGCATGTAATTCTAAGCACACTTTTTCGTGACTTGAACCCTTCCTGGACCCTCTTTCACCCCTGATGAACCAAACCAGGGTGGCCATGTAACCCCAGATATTTAGTCATGTGTGAAAAGGCTAATAAATTATGTCATTATCCTATATGCAAATATCACTTAATTAATACAAAATATTAAAAGGGTATGTCAAATTTATGAGCTACAGACTCCTGTAAATATGTGAAAAGGCTAATAAATATGTCGTTATCCCACATGCAAATATCACTAAGTACAAAATACTGAATGGTATATGTCATATTTATGAGCTCATTATAGACTCAGTCTGTAAATCAGGTTTGTTTTGTACAGGTATGGGGTACGTGCAGCAAACAAAAGTTGGACAGTTGGGGCGATGATGCTATCCGATAAGAAACAACAAAAAGTCAACCCTTTAATATAATGATTAACCAGAGTTCACGATAAGGGCTCTAGGTCAGCAACTTAAGTCAATATCACCTCAGAAACCTGTTGCTTTGTTAAGCCGTGTGGTTGATATTCACATGACCTGATGACCTTATAATATTATTATTTGTCCCGAGTTGCCAATACTGCTTGGAAATGAAATCCCCTCCACTTTTCAGATTTGTGAGTAAAAGGTGACTTCTCAATGGTTTTAATGGAAAAGTACCAGCATCTTACACCTGCTTTTATTACGTCCTCATCCCCCACATGTAACCAGACAATTGAGGCACCCAACCCCGCATAAAAATACTTTAAATTAATGTTGAATATAGGAAGTAAATGAGCAGGGGTTGACTAACAAACAACATCAGTCAACTACTCATCTTGACACAATGCACACTGTACAATATTGTCTGGATATGATACATTAGGTAGTGCTCAGCTATAGCTTTCCTGGCTCTGTGATAAATGTTGAGACTGTGCACTTGAAATCCAGCCACCCATAGCTTGCTGGCTGTGTCAGGTGCCAACATGTATTGTGACCCGCCAGAAAGGTAAATAGCCAGCAAAAGCACTCATGCATATACCGGCTGGCAAGTACTTTAATGCATTCCGGATGTCTCTCAAGTGGAGCCTTTCGACTTCCCAAACATGTTATTAATCACATAGTTTGTGAATATACATGTAGGTCTAACTTTTGTCACATTTCACTGTTGCTACCGTATGGTCATCCTTTTACCTGCATTTCATGCATTTCAAATGACAGGGGTCATCGTATATAATTATGAAAGCAACATCTATAGACAGAATTTTTGCTATAAATTGACAGGATACTAATTACAACAAATGTATCAAATGTGCAAGAAATTACCCAAATGTAATCTCATTCATATTCCCATTTAGGATTGCTAACAGCCAATAAATAAACACAGTTTTCTTGGTCTTTCAGACATTTACATGTATGCAATGTACTTAGCGTGGACAGAAATTCATGCATTGACCATTTCTCCTTGGCTATAAAATGTTGCTTCAGAGTTATTGGATAAAACCGAAAGCAGCATATCATCTGTGTTTGTAAAGCGTGTTCTAACCAGTGTTGTAGTCGAGACCAGGAGGTCTGAGACCGAGACCAAGACCTTAAGTTTACACCTCCATGTGTTTTTAATGGCTATGAAAGTACCAGCATCTCACAACTGCTTGTATTATTTCCTCATCCCCCACTTTTAACCAGACAATTTAGGCATGCACTTTTAAAATTGCCAATTTTGCTTCCAACCCGCATAAAAATACTCTAATGTGTATATGTAGGAAGCAAATAAGCAGGGGTGTACTAACATGTAACATCAGTCAACTACTCAACTTTAATGCACATCTGGATATGGAGATGAAAGCACCAGCATCTCACAACTGCTTGTATTATGTCCTCATCCCCCACTTTTAACCAGACAATTTAGGCACTTTTAGAATTGCCAATTTTGCTCAACTGAACAACTGAACAAACGTATACTTTTTATGAAAGTTATGTTGGTGAATTGTGAATTTTTTTTAAAAAACATGTGATTTTAGTCATCTATTGATAAAAGTACACACGGTCCTAAACAGATAGGATTATGTTTTCTGTTTCTTTAACTTCTTTTTTCACAATATTTATTTTAAGCAATGTGGATCTTTTATCATGTTTGTTGTTCTCTTTGTGTAAATTATTGCTTAGAATGTTTTGTCTGCAACTTGTTTGCTGTAAATCATTCTCGTATAAAAGAGGTTTCCTTTTTAAGATAAATTGTCAGTGGACTCCTGTTATTTTCAATATGGATCATAAAAGTGAATTGAATTAATGCATGATTCATATTCTGCCAACAACTAGATCAAGCATTTCAAAGAAGTCAAAATAGTGCAGTACGTAATATCAATTTTGTGATGAAAACCCTCTGGTGCTATTTATGGGTGAATTTGTTTAAAAATTAATTTAACCATTAGGCCTACCATATAAAATTTGTTGTACTGTTCTACCGCAATAATGTACCCTGTGATCATATGATATCTAAATTGTAACCAAACCATCTGGTACTGTTTGTAGTTGGAATTGACGTATCGCAGTAGAATCGCGGCAACGCAGCTTGTGAAATTTTGTCCAATTACACTGTGATATGTAAATGGACGCGGAACGTGCAAAATCTGAGACAAACAAAACTTAGTGTACAAAAACTCCATAGGGTTGTCTAAGGGGCGTGGCTAACTCGCAAACAGCGATAGGTCAATTCATTTCATTACATTGCCTTTCCACATTTCAAAGCACTACATGTATTCCTTATGATACAAAAGTCAAGAATTATAACTTTAAGGATATAAAAAAATATGTATTCATTCTACCTTTTGTTTTTACCCTTCTCTCTATTTAAATTTTTTAGAATCAATTGAAGAAAGTGAACATGTCTGATTACCTGGCATCCCGAAAGCCGGCGTCTGGAGCAGGGATAATGGCCTCAAGTACTTCAGCATTTGGCGGTGGTGGTATGATGATGTAGACACTGTAGGCCCTTTCACACTAATCTCTTTGTCAAACCCTGGGATTTCAGGAACCCCTTTCTCACTAGCAAGAATCCAAGATGGATTCTTCACAGGCCAAGCGCTCTTCTCAGGTAAAATTCAACCCTGGTCTTATCTGGACCAGGGTTGAGAAGCTGTACCCAGCAGTGTTGTAGTCGAGTACTTTTTTTTCCGAGTACCGAGTACTGTGGAATACCGGTAGGTTACCGAGTATGAGTACTTGTACCTCCGAGTACAAGTACAGGTCTCCGAGTACGAGAACGAGAACTTCCGAGTACGAGTATGAGTGCGAGTACTTCCGAGTACTTGTATTTCCGAATACAACCATACAGCAAATGGTTCATTGTGCGCAATTGGCGCAGGCCCAGTCAGACCAATATACAGACCACTCACGGTTAGCTGTTAAATGCGTTTGCCCGGACATGCACAGAGGAAAATCAGGAAACCTTGATTTCTCGGCAAGCTAATCAACCATTTCAAACTGAAAGTATCGGTAAAATAAGGCGGTGGTAAGTCAAGCTACACCGTTTTTTCCCCCAGAGTTCTGCTACTCGAGTATGAGTACTTTGATGACCGTGTACAATTTCGACATGTCGAGTACAAGTCCTTTTGCTGCCTGAGTACGACTACTGTCATTTCAAGTACGAGTAATTTGACATTTGAGTAAGAGTACGAGTACAAGTACCGGTACTCCAAAAAAAAGTACTCGAGTAGTACTCGAGTACGAGTATTTGAGTATGAGTACTACAACACTGCTACCTTGGAAGAAAAATTGTAAAAGTCTGTGAACGGCTTTGCTTGCATGTCTTCGATCAGACCTAGTTCTTCTCAAGGTGTTGAATTCATCATCGGTAGGCGAGATGATAGTGTGGAAAGGCAAGATACTTGAGAAAGAGACCGTCATTATTAGATGCAACTACATGTACATGTGGGTGTGTTTCTTAAGAAATTATCAAACCATTAAGTGACTTTTGTTAGAAGTTAATAATAATGTTGAAAATTAAGAAAGGATTGGACAGTTTTTGGTCAAACCTTAGGATGGGGCTGAAATCCCACCAATACAAATACTGTATGCTGCATGGACATTTCTCCTTCATGATACACTTACAATGTAATACACATTCTCTGTTCCAGTATACAGATAAAGTGAGTCCCAGTTGATATTGCAGAATTAATGCAACAGATGCACCGGAATAAGTTTTGTATTATATTTTTGTCAAATGCAAGCCAGGCATAATTAGAGTATGTTATCCCTTTTGGGAAAGAATATGTATTAAAAAAATACATCATTTGAGTTCAAAGTATATTTTAATATTTTTTTAATGTACATTTATGAAGCGAGAAAAGTATTCCAAAGAATGAGATTTTGAATTTATTTTTAAACCTGTAAGCCCCTCACAAGTGATTTTTTTTTATCTTAAGGTATTAAAAATAGCAGTGATGGTCTACATGTGTATTAAAAATAACCTTCACATTTCCATTTTTAGGGGGTTAAAGAATTTATCACAGAAAGTGAATCATTCTGTCTAAGCACGCTGTGAAGTTTTTTGTGCTTAAAATGCAAATTCTGCGCTCGGATATATATGAGATATCAATAGATATCAACAGAACCCATCAATAGCAATTTGTTTTTTGATGGTACAATTGTCCTGACTTTGCGTCAGGCTTTCATACATAAGGCCCAAAAAAAAAAAGTCTCCGGTTTCTGGTATGCGCGCGCGTCGCCGTAGCCATGCGTGTCGGCAAAATGAAAAAGTTTTTTTTTTCAATGAAAGATGATGTCTCAAAATCGCCAAACTCACTGGTTTGACTGGAATCCTGCTGCTGCACAATTTTAACGTGTTTTTAGATGGGGTTATGATTGAGAATAAGCTTTATGTGGCCTCTCTGGACTCCCATATATTTGCACTAAGTTTAGTCGGGCACCATTTGCAGTCATCAGCCGACATTTGAAGCAAAAAAGTTGGGTTAAAAAAAAAAAAGCCGCGTCGCCGCACCACTTTTTGGACAAGCTCCATACCAGAAACCGGAGACTTTTTTTTTTTGGCCTAAGAGAAAAGTGAGCAATTATTCTTCACTCCAATGTTAAACATAAAGCATGATACACTCACACATGATAAGTAAACATTTCTGGGTCTTGAAATTTTATTGCTTTCTCCTTGCCCAGTTTTCAAGCTCCTTTTTATTTCATGCCATTTTTTTTCAGAGCTGTATTTTAAATTGCTATAAAAATGCAGTGAATTTGGTCGTCGAGTACAAAAAAATTCACGGGATCACTATGTGGCCTACTTTCAAGAACTACTTATGCAAAAGTGAGGGCGGCCTGATATTATGTATGAATAGATTTCATACACAAAATCATGCCTAATTAAATCATGCAAATTGGGAAAACTTTGTAGAACAAGTTGATGCTGATATTAATTGTCTGCATTAGAAGAGCACGCAAGTTTCAGTTCAAACATTAGATGCATGACAGAAAGTGGCTGTGATTTGGTGTGATTTATTACAAATGTACATTGTCTGGATGTGAAAATCCACTATGTCTTACCAGGTGTAAAGCAGTTTGGTGAGTCACAACTCTCTTTCATAATTATAAAGAAGTAAATATTTTGTAGATTAAGATTTTGTACTCCTTCTTTCATGAAAGTAATTTAAAGATATTAATTGCTCTTTCATTAATAAGTATCTTCTGAAATAATCGATAGTGTGCTTTGATCATTTAACTGACTATTATGTAGCAAATACTTACGATTTTTTCATAGCATCTTTATATTTGACTTCCTGGTCCATATACTTCCAAGTGTTGGGATGCATACTCCCACTCTGTAAAATACCCCACTCGTTGTCAATATACTACACGTACCATTACTTTTTACATTTCAGCATATTTGTATGTGGAATTTAATGCAATGTTTACTGGTGTGTACAGAGTGTGCAACATACAAAAAAACCCAAATAATTTAAACTGTTTAATGTTTTCTTCAATGAAATTATATACGTGTACATGTATCTTATTATAAGTCCAGGTATGTCTGTGTGTACATGTATGTCAGTATTTCAATTATCTCCAGTACCGGGCACTGTATATGAAGTTGACAATCGGCAGGTGTATTGTTCAGCACCCAACAGCATATGCAGTGTCAAGTTTGAAGTTGTTTGGATCAGCGGTTCTCAAAAAAGCCTTTACACCATACTAACGTGTATATACAGACTGCGCCATACACTACTGCACATTTTGAATGGGCACTGCATCATACTACCTCGCCATGGGTTAACACACATGCAAATAGTGGTTGGCTGTATGGGCTCAACCTTTTTTTGAAGGGCTCAACCGTTTTTTGAATGGCACGATCGCGCAACGGTGAGGTGGAGATATGGCACTCTGTTATACTGGCACTGCACTCTATACTGCCACATTTGCGGGTCTACCGAAGGCCAAACAATTTGCCCGTTCCAAACAGGCATGTTTTGAACGGCCACTGCACTAGTTACATTAAAGCCTGACTATTTCTCAATCCACTCCTTTTTACCTCATTCCATTATGGTCCCTAGCTAGCTAGACCCAGAAGTACAATCAGTTAAGTGAAAGGGCATGTCCATTTTACTTGGGCTACTCTCACCTGAACATGCTGAAGCTGGGTTAAGCATTGAATAGGCATTGAAGTTGATGACATCACAGGCGAGAGTGGCCCAAGTAAAATTTACACCCTTTCACTTAATTGATTGTTTTTCTGGATCTAGGGACCCAAATGGAATGGGGTGAAAAGGAGTGGATTGAGGAATGGTCAGGCTTTAATGTCATATTTAATCTCAAAAAAACATTAAACAGTTTTAATTATCTGTTTTCTGGATGTTGTATTTATTTTGGCACACTCAGTAGTTTGGCGTGGTTGCTGTTTATGTTCGCATCGAACAGGATAAGTAACTTGCTAATGAATGACCATATTGATTTCCCGACACTACCTTCCTGAATTGTTTCTGTACAGACAACTCGTTAAAACAAAGTTGCATGGATTATATCCTTCAGTTATGTTTTGATAAAATCTGATATAACTCCAATGTTTCATTTACAGGGCAAGTCAAAAAAGCGGAACCCAAACCCCCAAAAATATATTTCATATTTAAAAAAAATATGTAGCACCAAAAATAGCCGCCGACTGGAAAACCGATTTCATATGTTACTTTTAGATAAAAAAATACTGATATTCACCATTTAAACGCAATGACCCTAAAACTTGTTTCGTCCAAAAAAAGCAATTTATTGTGTATTCTAACTGTTTGGAACAACAAAGAAAATGACAAACAACAGTCAACAACTGTAGTACACAATATCTTTATTAACAACCCTGGTTAGGCAAACAATATGATTTATAAAATCCACTTTTTTTTTAAAGACGGGCCTTCAGAAGGACTTTGTTGAATATTTTTAACTTTTCAACTGAGGTTTTATCGCTGGTGATGTTTAAAGACAATTGTGATGACGATTCTTGAAATCGCATTTTTGGAAGAAAGAGGTTTTAGGGTCATTGTGTTGAAATGGTGATATTCTTTGAACGGATTGCGCAAATATCAATATTTTTTTCATCGAAAAGTAGCTTATTAAATTGGCTTTCCAGTCATTATTTGTGGTGCTACATACTTTTTTTTTAAATGTGAAATATAATTTTTGGGGTTTGGGTTCCGCTTTTTTTTGCTCACCCTGTAGACTCCCTAGGAATTGAATCGTCTTTCTAGTTTCTACAATTTCTTTCATCATTTTCAGCAATCTTTTTGTAAATAAATATTGATTTGTTACAATTTCAATGCAAAAAAAATGTTTGTATATACAAGTAAAAAAAAGTTTAGCCACGAATTGGTGATCATTATATAAGATTTACACATGTAAAACCAGATACATTTATGTACATGTATATATTTTTTGGTAAACAATGGACTTTCATACAAAATATTTCACATTTCAATTTCATAATGGATATTCTTGATAAGATTTCATGTTATTTCAGTAATTAGTCCAATTAAATTGGGTCAACTGGGAAAAATACACATGTAGGATTGTAGCCATAAAAAACAATCTTGTAAGATAAATATGTTGTAGTAGTAGACAACGTTTTCACCAGTGTCTGAATTAAGTATATGCAGCTTTCAAAGATTTGAATATTTGAGATTACTTGTTGGAATTTATGAAAAGACT